TAAAATGTTCTTTTTGACTAGGCAAAACTGAATTAGAGATATCTGCAACACATATCCAGTCTAGCTGTTAAATGTTAAAATGGCTTGCCATAGTTACAATAGCTTAAACAGGATTAAATAAATATGTGACTGATATAGGATATGTGTAACTTGACACACAACAGTGGCCCTTAAGTTTACAAAGTCCCTCAGCTGGAAAATGCTGTTCCAGAGTCAAGAAAGATGGAGCCATAGTCAGAAAGAAATAAGGTTCAGGTTGTTTGGTAGATAAGATCGACGCCTTATACAATAGACATTTTCTGTTGACCTTCTGGCCGCTTAGATACATATATTAAAAAGAGAATATAGCGTTTATTCACCCACTGGAGTACAGCCTGTCTGAGATAATGTCGAAGTTACACTTGACTGAAGTTAAACTTTCTTGGACAAAAGAAACTCCAGACACCATTATGTACCTACCAGCTTCTGGCAGGGAGGTTTCTCACACAACTGAAACAATGTGACCGGTGACTACCTCTTATCAACTAACGTTAACTGTGTGTTATCTTTGAGCCTGCCCCGTCAAGAGCGTTCAGGGTCCTGCTGTCATTAGCACTAGCTATGCTAACAGCTGTCCCACCACTAGCATGCAGTCGGTAACGTCAAACACACAGCTGTCAGACTGTCCCGTAGAGCCACCGGTAGCTCACCTTTACAGCAAACAGCAGCCTGTTCAGTGATGGAGAGAGCCTGTGCGCCGCCATGTTGCTGTGACTGTGACCGTCAACCGAGCACGCTGTTGACGTGATGACGTTTTAGCTTTGGAGAGAGCGGAGTGGCTGAGAGAGAGGCGTAACTCCATTCACATTTTTTTCCTCTCAACTTTATTGAAAAGCTTCATACATCAGGCCTGGGAGAATTATAAAAACAATTTTTAAAGCCCTATCTTACAAATGCATTAGAAGAAGACGTGTCAGTCAGAATGCCAGAGTTTATTTTGTCTTTGGGGGCATTGTCTGTCAAGAAACAAGATTCCGACTCAAAGTACTCCTTTGAGCTGCTCTGGGGTCAGATTTGTGTCAAATGTCACACTTCACTCATAAGTTGAACCTAGTTCTCTTCAAGCCCGATGAGCCTTGTTTATAGACTTTTTCACAGCAGCTATTTTGACATGAAATAGTAGGGTAACGCCTGTGTTTAACTTACTATTTCATCACCAATGACTAATTATGGTTCTGTTCCATTCAGGTCAAAACAGAGTCAGGGTGCTGCTACTGTGCATGGAAAGACTCACACTTACATCATGTCACACTAAATGGAACAAGATCTTAATTAGAATCATTGTAACACATGTGTGCTGTGAAAAAGGTCTATTATTAGGAAAGAAGGACAGAGGCTGTAGGAACATCACAATACTGAAAGTAAAATTGACAAAAAAGGTAGATAGATAAAAACTTTGTCATTATTTAATATGAATAGCACGAAAAAGACGAAAGTCTGTTCTTCACATTGCTTATTCACTTAATTACTAAGTTATTACAAATCATGTTGCTTTATCAGCGGGTCAGGCTGGGAAAGATCTTAGGAGATACAGGTCGATCTCACTGGAGTTAACAGAATGCAGTGGACTAAAGTGGACCAGTGCACAGAAGTGCTGTATTTATGATTAAACAGTTCCAAAGCCTTTTCTAGCATGTAGGGCAGCCTATATGGCACTGCATCACATTTTCTCCACTTGAAGGGTACCCTAGAGAGCACTTTATCACACACTGTAGAGGACGCCATATCATGTTTTATCTACCACATGGGCGTCCAGGAGGGCACGTCTACTGCGTTTTCTGACGCCTGATTCTGTATAAATCTCAATCATCCGTTCAAATATCAATATTGTAGCCAGCTCGGCCACTTATTATACCTGTCAATGAGAAGAACAGTAAAAATGCAGTGCCATTTCACAGGTTGCACCAGCAAGGTTCTCCAACAGCATCACACACGGCTGTGGCTATTTATAGCCCCTGTACCTATAATTCATCACGTGAGTGTGAACCATCATCAAGGGGATATCTCAGTCATCATTACTGAATGCTAGAAAGAGTCATTTATAGACAGAGTTAACAAAGTGCTTCAAAATTCAGGAGCAAATGAAGACATTAATATGGGGAAATAATGAAAGGAAGGAATGATAAAATTCATCACTTATAAATAATTTTGAGCTGATGCTATTTAGAAGGCAGCATCTCACACTCTTGACACTTGACTTCCAATGGATTTTATTCTGCTCTCAGTTTGTGGCTGCATGCCAGGAATATGAGCCATCCATCACCTATACCAGCTTATCCTGTGCAGGGACACAGGGAGGAATGGGACACCTGGACAAGTTAGCAGACGAGCACATGTGCGGAAATAAAATGCAGACTCACACACACACACACACACACATACGGGCAATTCAGATTTCAATTAATCAGAATTGCAGTTGAACTGCTTTGGAGTGTGAGAGGAAACCCACACAGGATTCAAACCTTAGACCTCGCTGCTGTGAGGTGATGGTGCCACTGTCCACTGTGCTGACCATGCAAATTAGACAAATGTCCAGATTAATTACATACAATTGACACAATTCTCAAATCACTTATATTGTTTAAAGGGAGATTGCTGTTTCATTCAACTTGGGTATTATTCAGTTCAGTTTTTTCCCATCAGTCCTGTTAGTTATTAGAATGTACTCATCCAGTTAACAACAAACAGCCAAACTTATTTGGAGGAGAAAACAAAGATGAACAGTGAAATTATTCCCCAAGCTATCCTTTGTTAGCATCCATCACAGTTTACAGACCCACTTCCTGCTTCAACTTTGACCTCCTGTACTTACCGTGGTTGTGCACCCAATGGTCCTGTGCAAGGAGGGACATTCAGGTGAGCTCACTTTCACTTTTGTACCCTGATTGTAAATACTGGGGCCACATGCATAAAATTTAAACACGCTTAAATCTGTGTGTAAGCACAAAGACAGAATTATGCATGCATATTTTTTTGTATATTAATAAAGCCACACATATACATTGTTCTGTTTTATAAATCTAAATCATTGTGGAAGTGGGTGCAGGTGCACAAGCCTCATACTTGTGCACCACTCATTAGACCTGCCAATCAAGTGCAATTTCAGCAACTGTGTCACATCGGTGAGGTTCCAACAGCACCAGAGCAGCTGTCATTACGCACAGCTGTGGCTGTTTATAGCGGCCGCATCAGTAATTCATCACATGTACCTGGAAACCATCGCCACGGTGATATCTCAATCATCACTGTTAGGTGTCAGGAGTATGATCCAATGATGAATTTATAAAGCTCACACTGAAATAGACTTTACAATAGTGCTTTACAATTCACCACTGATAAATAATTGAAAATTAGGTTTATAAATGCGCCTTTGAGTGGCGCTTTACAGAATGGTGTAGACTGCAAAATAACAACGAAAACAAAGTGTTTTACTCTAAGGTTTCTCAACTTATATTTCATGGCTACCTTATTATATCACCCACAGCTATGCTTCACGTTTATGTGTGGAAATTAGCGTATTCATGGTTTACACATCTGGCCCCTGGGTTGTAACACACTGTAATTTACCTTAAAATATGATTTAAATCTTGTGTCATTGTTTTAAACAATTTCAGTTCCTTGCAAGTGGAGTATGTAAAGTTGATTATTAACCAGTTAAAGCTGCAGTAGGTAACGTTTATCAAAAATATTTGCTGAAACCTTCACTATA